ATAGTTCCCCTGTCCCTCCTCGATGGCCTTTTTGCGAGCCCAGATTCGAACCTGAAGACACAAAAGCAAATTTTCAGTGAACAATCAGGAAAAACTACAAACATAACAGAATGAAGACTGGTAAAGCTAAACTAAGCAGCGTGAAACCAATGATCAGTTTGATTCCCTGTCTCTCCTTAAGATAGGTTTATGTAGGGTTATGAGATGACAGAATAGGATGTCAAACTTGAATGTTTCCTTGGGTTGTGCTCAGGTGAGCGTAGTCGGACACGATGATGGCCAGCAGGTAGGTGGACATCTTTTTGGTGGCTTCAAACTTTGTCTGCAGCAACGTTTCTCCGTCAACAGTGATGGTTTTGTGATCTAAACAGTGCAAGCAGTTAAAGTTTAAAAGTGGGTGCTAATTACATTGTAATGATGTTGCAATTAAATGTAAAAGAAAATGTGTTTTGTAGTAGTTTGCACAAACCAGAGCATATATCCGACAGCATCATTACAATCATAATACTAAACTGAAAATTCAGATTTGAATATTCGTGATAGATTGATGGTCCCATCTAGAGGCGACTTCCTGTGGCTTTTATGGGCTGAGCCCCACAGAGCCTCAACAATCAAAGCTTTAGACCAAACTCTCCACAACCAGGGGCCTTAGTGTGACTGCATTTCACATTCGAGTGTTGAGCAAAGGAGAGCTATGGAGCAGGAGATGGATATGCTTGTTTAGACAGATCTACAGTAATTGGGATACTGCTTTGATGATCGAGAAGCTAAGCTACAACTTCTTGGATCTATATTGCAGCCCTCACATATGGTCTTAGTTACTAGAGACTTAAGAGATTCCTCAATAGGATGGAAGGGTTGACATTGGGATCTGCTCCAGATAGATCTGCATCTTCAAAATGAGCCAACTGAGTTGGTCTGAGGTGGATTCTTCCTGAAAACTCTCCGTTGTTTTCCTTTGACTGTCCCACTGGTCGGAGATCCTGCTGCAGATGCAGAACTCAGCAGGTTGTACTTGTTTAAAATAAACAGGGTTTTTTTCACTCTGTGGTTTATTAAAGTACTTAATTTATTGTTGTAAAAGCTGACTGACTTTAGCAACAATAAATTAATTCTCAAGGGTCAATAAAAAGGAAGGGCAGATGCTTTCTAGTTTTTTATGGATTGGTCCTGAATCAAATGTTAATTTCTGCTCTCAACTGCCTGATTATCACATTTTCTACTTTTTGGGATTTTCTGGCGTGGGTTTCTGAGCTACATCTAGCTTATAAAGACAGAAAGTTACTTAAAGAAGGACATTTAGGATTTCTCATCAAGGTTGAAAGAGATTGCTTAAATATAGCTTCATACTTGGTTTGCTCCAGATGGGCTTTTGTAAACCAATGCACAGATGTACTCTTTCTAGTCAAACCCATGACAAAATAATATTTTTGCCCTTTGAGAGCCATGTTAGGTCTAAAGCTGCATGTCTGTGCAGTTACAGTTGTTCTTACCCATTTCCATGCCGTTGGACAGGGCGACTGTTCCTGTTGGGTGGATGAGGGTTATGTGGAAAACTGCTTTCATGGCCGGCTCATCAAAACATGGAAATGTTTTTCTGGCATTAGTGGGATGCATCTGGGAGGTTGCAATTATCCTGTGAAGTGTTTCAACTGTTTAAAAAGTCTAACAAAGATACTAAAACAGGGTAGAAAAACTTACTTTGTGACTCCATCTTCTTTATATTCGCTTCGGTAAAATCCAGCCAGATCATCAGCAAGCTCTCCTGTGAACTGGGCAAACAGCTGGTACTTCTGTCCTGGAGTTAATTTACTCCTCAACTGGATGACCAGGTACTGCTTTTGAAGCTGCAACCAAGTTGACTTGATTTTGGGGACAGATGCACCTTCTGGAAAAGACATTTAGAGTGAAAAGAAAGCTGTGAAATATCTTTAAAGTAATGATCCGATAACTGGAAGAACCACCTTTAGGGCAATAAACATCAGTAGTTTTTTCTGTCTCACTTTATTGGTCTCTGACTTTAATTTAGAGGTACTTTGTTCCACTTTACTTTCTAAGACTGACGTTAGCAGACATTGTGTAAGGGGGTTTGTCATCTTAAATGTCTGTGAGAAATTTGCTCCACCAAGATACCAGACATTTGCACTCTGAAGTTCCTACAGCAGCATTTCAATCAGGTTGAAATTCAGCCATTACAACAAAACTGTAATGATTTTTTTTCACTTCCAGTATTTAGATTTAGACAAAAGGATTTTGTAGCACTAGTGGCTTTTATTTTGCAGAATTCAGACAGGAAGTCTTCGTGGATGTGGCACGCGCTTGTATTGGGATTTCACTGTTTGATTGTTTTTCTTTTAAAGTGCCTTGAGATGACATTTATCGTTGTAAATCATCCTGTTATGGATAAACTGAATTGAGCTCACTGAGAGAAGCATGTTTTTCATGAATGTTTCCTGTACCTTCAGAGGTTAACCTGACGAAATGTTCATCTTCCATCTTTGTATAGTTCAGCTTGTTGGAGTGAATCAGAATCAGATCTGTTGCTTCCAGACATTCAAACTGAACGGTGGACCAACCTGAAAAAATGGAGACATGCAAGGTCAACAACGTTTAAACTGATCCTGCCAACACAATAGATAAGAAGTCCAAACATTTTTTGTATTTGATCTGCTGATCACCTGTTGAATCTAATCAAAGGACAATTTGTCAGTTAGTTGGTGCATGACTGTAGGATTATGGAAATGTCTAACTGCAGGTCTGATCAAGCTATCTACGCTCTAGGTTATTTAACCCTTGTGTTTACAAATGGGGTCCAACTGACCCCACACCCATATCACTGTATCAGTTGCCTCAGTCCTCGCATGCACAAGGGTTAAGATGGACTGTGAGTAAGTGAAAACAATCTTGTTTTAAACGTCTGACTTCTTTCAGCAGCTAGGATATTAAGTGTCAGGACCTGCTGTATGATCAGGTGACAATTCTCCCTCTTTCTTTACCCAAGTGTCTGACAGATATGGCCTTATGCTTGATGGCATGATAGCAAAATAGATAATTGACCCAAGCTAGCCTGGTACCAGGCAGACCTCTGAGGCATTTCATGCTCCTAGAGCCAGATTATGACTCCAGGAGCCGGCATTCACAGCCTCCCATCCTCGCCTGGGATTCGGCTCACATTGCAACTTTTACTCACCAGTGAAAATGTAGAGGTTAGAGTTTGGGTTGGGCTTGAGTCGAGGCCTCAGAGTGATGTTGTAAAACTCAGGGGCTAAATCTCCAGGAAGACGATCCCTGAAGAGAGAGGTATAAAAAATGAAGCAAAATGACATTTAGTGTGATGGTAGAGTCGCAACCTAAGTGCAGATGAGATTAAAGTTTTCATTTTGTTTTTGTTGGTAAAACTTCTCCAGATTTTGAATGACTTCCTTTGCAGTGCAATTCTCAGACCTTCAGCTCTGCTTCCTGGATGTATTGCTATTATTAATCTGATTTGTGGAAAAAGGAAACATTCTCCTTTTTATTATTATAATTCAGATGCATTTTTCTCAATCTGCACAAAATCAAACACGAGTCAGCTGACATGTTTTGTTGACGCCCAGCTGAAGTTTTCTTGAAAGAAGAGAAACTCTCGTGTTGCTTTGTGATGTGAATCTTGATCACCTCTGCGTCTTTCGTCAAAACATCCTGTGGTCACAGTGTCTGTCATGTCGTACCTGTCCCAAGCCGCTGTGACGTCATCTCCTTCCCCTCCTATGATGGCGATAGTCCACAACGTGACGAGGGTTGCCACAGAAGCCAGGGCCAAGACGAAGCAGAGAACACGCAGCCAGCTGACTTTGCATCTTTTCCCCATGGTTCTCCGATCTGTTGATGCAGATTACAGCACAGCTTCAGTCCCTGCTTTGCTGCAGACGGCTGAGCAGACCTGAGCTTGTCTGGTTAGCTGAGTCCATGCGGGAATGAAAAACAGAAGTGCCTGTCAGCAGTTAAGCTCCCCCTCTGCTCCTCCATACGGAGCTGTCACCCTTGAGGAATGAATGGATTATATATTAGGTCAGGGTAGCTTTGGTGGGAACTATCCATGCTGATAATCACTGATAAACTACTCAGAAAGTTAGTGTATGATCTCCCTCCAGTCGTAAAACTCTGCATTTCTGTCAGGAGTTCACACACACGTGTGACGCAGGGATTTTATTGTCTATTTGTGGGAGTTAAATGGCCAAACACTTCAGAAAATATCCACACACACAGACCTGCCGGGATGAAACGCTCCTCTGGTTCCCTGGTCATTTATTTCTGATTTGTTGTGTTGCAGAACACAGCAAATGTGTTCTGCAACATTGTTGATGCAATGAAATTAAGTTTGCCCAGATTATTTATATTGGGGTGAATTTGTTTTATTATGTTTATTATGAATTTTTAATCAAAATGCACTTTTATTTCTTTCAACATCTTGTATTGATTGCTTTAAAATGCTGTGTTTTTCTTTTCCACTTCTTCTTTTGACCAACTTATCTGGGAAGATAGTAAAAAATCTATTTTTAAGATAAAGATAGTCACTGAGTCCATAAAGTAGAAGAGTATTGCACAGAGCTCAGTGTGTTAATGATGCTGTTTGTGGATTCAGAGAGCTTACACACACACACATATACCAAACTAACTGTTTATTCTGAAAGCCAGAAAAATAATTAAATATTTTTCTATTTTTAGATCGTAGAAAATGATTCATCTACAAAGGAAAAGAAAACTCTTTATTTTATACAATAAAGTAACATATTGAGCTTTTTGCAAAAGAATGAAACATGGTGAAAGATTTGAAGCCCACTTCAAAATATAAAACATGACAGATTCCCACTGGTGTGAATTAGTATTGAAGTATTCAATGCAAATACAGAAGAACTGCTAAAACCACCTTTTCTTATTGTTTTCATTAAAATGACTTGTTTTTATAAAAACCACAGTGGATAAATAGTACATGTGTTGCAGAAAAAACAAGACAAGCAGCGATTTAATTATTTTATTGGCTTTCTTTCAAAACAGAGTCAAATTGTTGCTTTAAGATGCTTAAATATGCTCACTTTCAGCATTTTTTAATAAAAATTGTTAGTAGTTTCTTTTGTAAAGAACTGAAAAGGGAGGATTTTTATAAAACATGCTGGGGGGCGTTTACACACCCAGTTTGATTTCTGTACAAACAATTTAATTATCTGTGGATTCATGAAATGTCCAAAAGAATTTACAAAAACTTCTTCATGGTAAAGTACATGGAATGCAATTTGAACGTCTTACATAAAATTAGAGCAAAGAACAGTAAACACATAAACTCAGTGCATAAATTTATGAATTTAGACACAAGATATCGTAAAATACATTCAGATTTATTCCCCGTCTCCGTATAGTCAACAACAGGTAAAAGACAACTGGTTCAGGCTGATGTGATGTTTCAAGACAGCTTTCATTACCAAAACAAACCTAATAAATACAAAATCTGCTTTTTATAATATTCCACTTTCTGTTGATTAAAACTTTATTCTTTAATTGTTTTAAAACATTTAGAAAAATCTGAAGAAAAAAACCCACTTTAATCTCATATTCACTTGTAGGTGTCACATTTGTGTTAGTTTTATATTTATCTAGGCACTTCTCAGCTTTCTTGAAATAAAATATGTTTTTTTCTCAATGTGAAACAAGTTGAACAACTTTAGTGGTGAAGTTATAGTACCACCTAAATGCCACTTCAAGACGTAAAAATAATCATTGGACTGTAAGAAAGTATGAACTTCTTGGAAAAATGGGTTATTTTCATGAAAAAGGCATTTATAATTAAATAAATAGGAGCAAGATTTTATGTTTGTCATGATCTAAACTGGATTCTTGAACCATTCCAGAACGCTTTCTTTGTTCTCGGCGACCCATTTCATGTTGGCTTGTGTTCTCTCGATGGACTGGTCCACTGCCAGAGTCCCGGACCCGAAACCCACATCAGCATTATCCTCTTTGAACTGCTTCAGCTGAAACAAAACAGAACATAATTGGTTAGGTCTGCTCCATTCATGGCTTATAAACGGTATTTAAGTTATTTAACAGACCACATATGGACATACAATCTGCTTTTAGCAAAACAGGCCTGAATTTTGATAAAACATACTTCTGGTACCTTTTCAATAGATTTTCTGACTTTACAACCTTTAACAGGGTAAATGTTCTCTTGTAGCCGTGTGTGTTTGTATTTCTTGTGACTAGAGAGCAGGAGTCTGCTTGTGACCGTCTTCTTCTTTTGTAAAAACTTTGTATATGTATTTGTCTTCATTGAGAGCAAAGTGGAACTGAAGTCAAATTTCTTGAGTGCACAAACTCTCCAAGTAAAAGTTCTGATTTTCTGAAAGCAGTTAAAAGTTAGTTATGCTAAAAATTAGTTATGCTAACCCTAAAGCACTAATAATAAACATTAGGTTTGCTAACACAAACAAAAGCTAACGCTAAACTGCGAACTTCAATTCAAATTTTATCCGCCCCTGAAAACCTTCAGCTTTCAAGTACCAATTTAATTTGATATCATAATTTACATGTCCTACCATACCCTTAGATATTGCATTTATGTTTTATGTTAACTGCTGCACAATCAATCCAACAACTTCAAAATAAGAGCATGAATATAAACGTTTAACTATTTGAGGAATTATTAACAGCCGACAACTAAAACTCTGACACCGATGTTGAACTTTATTCAGCTGAATGTTCACAAAGCAGGCAAGTAAATTAGAGCTTTAGAATTTAAAGCAGTAAAACCAGCAGACCAAACATCTTGGAGATCTACTTGGGTTGCTAGGTGACGGGCAGAACTCTGTTGGGGTTGCTAGGTAACGGGCTGAGCTTCGATGGGGTCATAAGATGAGAGGCAGTGCCTCGTTAAACTAGAAAGGTTTCCTTAAACAGGTCATTTTCCAGACACCAAAAAACATAAATTTATTGTCAAAAACTGGCTGGGATTTTTTTTTAGCACTTTGATTTTCGAAGCAGTAGAAACCTAAATGGAAGTACAAAAGTGTGCAAGATGTGAATTTTGCATAATATGTCTTCTTTATATCTTAGCTTTCATCACTGTGCAACACCTGAATCCATTCGTCATTCGAGCTAAGGTTCTTTATCTCTAAGACACAAAGAACACATGATCAATATCCTCAGATATCCCTGAGATTTTGTCCTGTAAGGAGCACAAACAGCTAATACTATTTCACTACAGATTAAAACACCTCATCAATCAGCTGATGGTACAAATTACAATATGTCCGCAAAAATTTTAATCATTTTAAAATGTTCTCTAACCTGCTGAAGCTCAAACTCTGAGGAGAAGCGTTTGGTGACTCCATTGATGAGGTTGGCGAAGGAGAAGGATCCACCACCGTACCTATGAGAAGAAACATCACCAGATATGAGAGGAACAAAAAACGAAGCAAAAATCTGTAAGAAATAATATTCAAACCTCTTTCACAAACCTCCAACATCAGCTAATCTAATACTCCTCTTACATACATTAGTCGATAAATCTGACGGCCGCATCATGCAATAAATCTCTGTAATTTCACTCTCTCTGCCATTGAAGCTCAAGCTTTTATGATGTAGTTGTACAAATAAAACGAGTCTAAAGGAAATACCAAACTGAATTACAGATGGTTTTATGAGGATCAAAGATCAGCTGAGGACCTGACTTGATCAATAAAACCTTTCATTGATGGTAAACAGCCTCATAAAAACGCTCATCTCTCTTCATAAAGGCAGAGTTTATGGTTTTTAAGTTGACAGATGTTGCCCAACAGGTCATGACTGCATGTGACTTTCACACGGCTTCAGTGTCCCACTCACTGAGTGAAGATGTAATTCCAGCGAGCCCTGATGAAGTCCCACGCCAGAGACTGACCGATCACGTTCTGGGCGATGTAGACGATGGTGGAGGTGCCGTCCTGCTTCCGGATCTGGTTTGCATCCAGAGTGTACTCCAGATACCTGAGGAACAAACCAGAGTTAGACAGAGAACAGACTGTAAAATACTTCTTTTGAAAATCTGTTATTTCAGATAACAGACCAAGGCTGGCCCAAAACTTTTTGGGGCCCTGATCAGATTTTTATTGCCCCCCCCCCCTCCACAACAACATGTCTACATGAGATGCTTCATCATTCCTGATCTAATGTCTCCTTCATTAGCATCATTTGAACCAACCTGTTGAGCAGCCACGGTTTTGTGGTGCAGGCCATTGCTGCACGCAGTTTATCAGCTTCAATAGCGATGGAGGCGCTCTTAAACTTCTTCCAGGCAAATTCCCACTCTTCGGCGCCCCCTGCTGCGATGGCATTACAGTACACAGTGGATCGCAGGTTGGGGTGGATTCTGGAGAGAGACGTCACCATGTTGATGAAGGAGCCTCAAAGCAATGGCCTTTAAGAGGTCTGACTTAATGTTCTGCCACTCACGGGTTTTTGTCTGTTTCCATCCACTCTTTGAACCACGACTGGACCAGATCCTGACATTCCTCCAGACCGGTCTTACAGGCCAGGCTGATGGCATTCACCTGGTTATACCTGCAGGAAGATTACAGAAGACTTGGAGTTTAAACTGAGGACAAACCAGTTGGTGGTGACAATCAGAAATCCATGTTTTATTTACTGGTTCCTGAACACAACTTAAGTTATAGACTGCCAAATAAGACAATGCTGGTTTGGTGGTAAACCCATGACAAAAAAACCTTAAAGGTGATCTATTATGCCTTCTTGAACAGGTTAAGTTGGGTCTATGGACAATAAAAAACATGTTCATTACATGTTTTGCACAAAATCATTCTTGGATAATATTTTGAGCTGCTTTTAGAATTAACTTTTGTATTGCCTCTGTCACTTTAAATCCAAATTAGCTGTTGCTGGCCACGCCCCCACAACTCAATGCTTTGCTGGGGTTGCTAGGTGATGGGTTGGTCTCTGGGGTTGCTAGGTAACGGGGCAGTCCCTGCTGATTTGTAACATTAAATTCCGAAGGCTTTTGAAACGTTCACTTTCCACACACCAAAAAACATTGCCAAAAACCTTCTGGGTGTTTCTTTAAGAGCTTTAGCTGTTTTTAGAAGCAGTAAAGATCCAAGTGGAAGAATTATTTTCCTATTTTATTAATGAAAACTGTCTTGATGCAAGACACATCCCACTATTTGAGAAATACTGCATTAACCTTCCCAATGTTTGAATTTTTTTGGACTCAGATATTTGAACCTGTGTTCTCAGAATCTGCAACTGTTTAGAAAATGCAATAAAAGACTGTTTCACTTTTTAGAAATCTAAATTTATTCATAGATCTTCCTTGAGTTGTCCTGAAAGTTGGTCAGTCCACACGGTGTGGTTAAACAAATTATATTTGCAAAGCAAAAAGAAACTACCAGCTGCACTTAGACAAGATATGTTGAGCCTGTGTGCATAAATTCACTGGAAAAACACAATATCTTAGTACATCCTAAGTACGACTAACTTAAAAGTAACTTTTCAGCAAGTAATAGAGGCTTATAACTTATAGCAGTGGGAAAATGTCTTGTAAGTTCATTTATCTGCCAATGGAACTAGTACTTCTTCATCAATGGTATTATATTATATTATTCTGTACTCACTGGTCCATGTGACCATCTGGTATTTTGGTCCAGTTGCTTGTTATCTCTTTGTAGTGCTGGAACAGAGGGGTGACCTGATTCCTCAGATATTCCTGCAAACATGAGATCCACGGTTCAGGAGGCAATAAAATATTAAACAAAGGTTGGGAAACGTAAAGAAACGTTCATAGATTAACGTAGGAAGGACGAGCACCTGCATGACTCCGTACACCTCGCTGCGATCAAACATCAGGAAGAAGAAGTCCAGGTTGTCCAGAGCAGACTCCCACGGCATATATTCCCTCTCGTTCTTCAGGTACAGGGTGGTTTTTAGCGCCCGAACTGTCGGGATGATCTTAGCTCTTTGGGGGACAACAGGCAGTAGGATTTATCATATATACTCGCTCAGACGACAAAAAAGGTCAATTTAGGAAATATTTGTTCTAAATCTGTGTTTTAACAAGCTCAAACCTGCACGTATCTGCAACGATGTTTTCAAATTCAAAATTTTAATAAAATTTGAATTACTGTCGTTATAGATAGAAAAAACAGCAAATTTCCTAATAAATGCTCAAACATTTGAGCTTAATCAGATTAATGAGAAAATAACTGTAAAAAGCTGAAATTTCTGAGTTTGAAAAGTCAAATTACTTAAAAAAACTCAGAAATGTAAAAATGAATTACATAATTGACTAAAAACAACAAGGACATTCCTGAGTTCGAATAATCAAAATTTTACTTGGAAAAACTCAGAAATTTTGAGATTAATCTCAGAAATTTACTAGAAAAATCAAATACTTTTCTGAGTAAAAAAATTGCTATAAAAAGAATCAAATTTTTAGATTAATCTCAGAAATGTTCTTGATAAAACATGGACATTTCTGAGTTACAAAAGTTGAACATTTTCTACTTTTTGAACTCTTCTGAGTTTGAAAAGTTGAACATTTCAGTTTTTTACAGGAATTAACTTTGTTCTGTCTACTATGGCTCTAATTCACCAGTTTCTAACAACACTATGAGCTTTTATCATATTATTCCTGAATGCATCACAGGCTCGACCTTCATCCCTGCTTCTGTCTGTTAGCTTCAGACGTACCTGGCCAGGTTGAAGGCATCGTCCACCAGCTGAGCTCTGTTGATCTTTGGAATGTCCTTAAATGCAAACAGCAACATGTCAGGTACAGTCAAACCACACAGACAGAAAAGCCTTCAGGAAGCTGTTCCTACATTGTGGTTGGTGCTCAGAGCGGACAGCAGTTTATCCCAGTTGCCTTCATCATAGTTGACTCTGTAGTATCCAACCACATCAAGGTTGGCCAGCACCCAGTCATTAGAATCCGTCACCTTCATGTCATTATTGGTATCTACAGGAGAAATTATTTTTTACATTAGAGCGGCCATTTTGATTGTTTTATTCTTGTGTCAATTTGTTGGATATCTGCAATTTTCTGCCACTTCAAATGTTAAATATGCAACTTGGATTTAAAGTGACGATATCAAAGCTTTTTATCACATGGGCCAAAATCATCAAGTTGAAAGTCTTTTGGGGTCAACTGCACTCTCTTTTTCTTTCCTGAGAACTGTACAGTCACCTCAGAAATAACTACAGCATCTGAGTCACTCTTTCTTTAAAAATCTGCTGTATTAAACCAAGTTTAACAGACTGATTAAAACCAGATTTGGATGCAGCTAAGAGTGTTCAGATGACATAGAAAGCAAAAACTGCTTGTTTACGTGGGCTTTAAATAAAAGCTGGTGCAGTGCTGCTTTTTTACAGCTACATGGAAGCAGCGAACAGCATTAATGTTCTTATCGATGTTAAAAATGTATGTATGTTTACAGACAAACAAATCTCAGGAACTTCAGAGTTTTTCTTGGAAATTTACTCTTTAAATGCCCCGTTGTAATTTGACATCTAAAGTCTGACTTCTATTTATTACAAAACCATTAAAAACAAAAACAAACCAGCTACTAACTGGCTACTCTGAAAACAGGAATAACTGAGTCACATGGTCATTTGATATTTTTATACCTGATTTTTCCGTCAGCCACATGAAGCTCTTGCTGGCTCCTTTCTTCATCCATCTGATTGGAACGCTCCACACATAACTGGAGCAGAAACCACTCTGTTAGTACTTTTAGACCCACTTTTTATGGACAGTAAAATGATTTTGTGGGAAAACAGTTTGTGATAGCACAGGCATTTTTGGAAAAATGTCAGAGAGCTGTTTACGTACTTGTACTCAGATGGAGTGGTAACTTCGGAGTCTGGATCCAGGAGGAAGTGCTTCTGGGAAACGCTGCCGGAGGCGGTATCTATGGTGACCACAGGGAAGCCCATCTGCAGCACCCAGGTGTTCATGATGTCCTTGACAGTTTTAGGAAGCGTCTCTTCACTGGCGTCCACAGCCTGTTAAACACCAGAAAGCATAAAACTAACTAAGTTCAGTTTGAAAACATTCTGAGACACAAATGAAATAAAGATGTGGATTTTTTTTCTTTACAAATTGTATAAAAAAAATTTTTTTATGCTGTAGGTGAAGACACACGTGTTTTTTTTTTTTTTTTTTTTTTTTTTTTTTAAAGGGGGGTGTTTTTTTGTGTGTAAGTTT